GCACACCTGTCAAAAAACACGTCACGCATCCGCAGCGCAGGCGACAAACTGCCATAGACAAGTCATACCGTTTGAAGTGCGACAATTTTATGCTCTTGTTGTGCTCTCTTAGGCCGCGTTCATAGTTCGCGACTCCGGAGATTAGGATAGTACGCGACAATGAAAAACATATGTATTGACGGGAGATTAGGATAGTAGTAGATTAGGATAGTAGTAGAGTAGGAGAGTGCGCTGACAAGATTAGATATGTATTGATCTATTCGCTTGAAGTCGCCCAATCTACTACTCTCCAGCGATTTCAATCGATACGTATCCAATCTTGTCAGCGCAATCTCCTACTCTACTACTATCCTAATATCCTGTCGCCTACTATCCTAATCTCCCGAGTCGCGAACTATGAACGCGGCCTTAATGACTACTGCATTCGATACTGAGTGGTACTTTATGCTTTACCCGTGCACGCTTCAGCTTCCAATGGCGAAACCTCTCGAACATTCCGTCTTGGTGCTGCCGTTAGAGCACAGAGGCAAGACAGCGTAGAATTCAGCAGAAAATTGCATATGAGTGACCAGTGTTGAGTCTAGCGCATTTTGACGCGCGCGGACGCGCAGCGTGTACGAACCATGAACTCACGCAGCCACTCACAGCATCCGAGTTTTCTCACCGTCCAGATTAGGAACAGCTATGATTATGCAATAGAAATCCACTCTCAACATTCGACAAGCAATCGTAAAGCTTCTGATCTCCATTGGGCTTTATGGAACCCGAGAAGCTTCAAGCCCAAGCACCCGTCCCCGAAAAATCAATAACTTGTGAGATCTGGAAAATGATTCTATGAAATTAAAGCTGAATCCGAGCTCACCATGAAGCATTCAGTGTTGTTCACCGTGGACCCACGCTACCCAGGCTTTAGGAGAAACTGACAGTCACCACATTATACGAAGTTATACGACACACATTGGGGCGCCACCGATAGATGCACAGGCGTTTTGAATGCGTAGTTGAACTGTACAAAGATCTTCAGTCTTCACCATCACCCGTTGATCCTCTTATTATTTTGTAGCACCAGCTAGCCAACTCTACCTCTTAACTGCTAACTTTCAGGTCGTATTATCTCGCTGAAAGAATGCCTACTCGCTCAATATGTTTAAATGTTTAGGGATGCGATTCACAGTGGTTCGTGGTGTGTCATGCGGTCGTGTTGCTTGTTCTTTTGTTCCTGGTCCTCCTACGAGTGACATCTCGAACCTCAGCAGTCCCCAAGAGGGTGCTGCAAGCGTTCATCGACTGGCAGCTGTGCATGACCGCCCGGTTCGACAGCAAGAAGGACAAGCCCGAAAAGGTACCACCAGTTTGCAGATTAGCCTACCCTTAGCAAACTCTTGGGAACCTTTTTATTTATCTTTCAGCTCTGGGAAGAATTTGCCGAAATGACCCAGTACTGCACATCGAACACTGATGTGTCCAAGATCAAGCTGATCGAACTCCCGAACGATGACGAAGTGAAGCACTACATCCTGAGTCAAGACGTAAGCCCATTTAGGCCGATGTCAGACTTTGCGAATCGAGCGATTCGCTAGCGTCTGCGGTCGCGTCGCGGCCAGTGAATCACTTGATTGGCTGGTACCGCAACGCGACCGCGGACGCTAGCGAATCGCGCGATTCGCAAAGTCTGACATCGCTACTTTCATCACCAAACTTATTTATCAGCCCACCTCAGTAATTCCGATTCTTTTAGACTACCGAACCAAGTGTCGTCGTTTCCCTAGGGATTGGTGCCGATATCAGGGTAGAGCAACAGTTGAAAGAGAAGTTACCTGAGGTGAGTTTTGTTAGAACATCAGGCTCCCATCTTCCCCAACACTGCTTTTCAGGGATCCGAATTCTTCGGTGCTGACCCAGTCACCACCCCTAACGCCGATCTTTATGGGCAAGTAGGAATGTTCTTCCCGCTGGCTGTTAGTGACCATTCTGGCCACTCCAAAGCTCACATACGTCTGGATAACGGTGAACGCTATTCTGAGCTATTCTGAGGAAAAAATTACGTGATTACTAAATTGGAGAGGTCTGCATAAGTTGCCGCGTGCGGTCGCACTGCGGTTTCGCGCTCTGAGTAGCTATTACGATAATAGCATTCTGACCGTATGAAACAACTAGTGCATATTGCACAACGGGGCTAATAAGCATAAGCATGTGTGACTAGTCCCACACTAACCATTCGTATGTAGACAGATTTATCTGCGCACTTTCGTATACATAGTTTCCCTTCTGTGGGCTTAATCCATAATTTACGGACGCAGCCACGTGCGGTTGCGCTGCGGCTTCGTACTCATATGTTGATAGGAAAATCAACATGCGGTATGGGTACTGTCTATAAAAGCTAGCCTGGCATGAGTGAAAACTCAAGAAAACCGTAGACTCCCGATATCTTGGGCTCCCTTTAAGAGACGCTACGCGACCGCACGCGACCTAGTCTGTTGATGCACCTTGCCTCTTTATGAAAAAAACCACACAGCTCTGTTTAGTGCTACATATGCAACAGTTCTAGCGCTGTGTTTTGAATTGCGCCGCGCACTCTAATCTCATCAAAATTTGCAAGTCTAATCGGGTCCCAACAAAACAACCAAACATTGGGAACTTCTAATTGTTGTTCTTTCAGTTTACTTACAGCAAACCAAATAAATACCTATGAATATTTATTGTTTAGGTGATTATAAGTATATGCCAGTAGTCCATATTGACATCGGCACGTTCTTCACGAAGATGATTAACCGAACGCACATCGATCATATGATTCTCGACAATGAGGGTCCCGGAGTATCAGCTAATTCCGATGATAGCAATCGATAATGTGTTTGCGGACGAAAATATGGCTATCTGCCATATGAATGTTGAGGTGAGTGTTTTATCCATATTGAGATGTGCCCTTTGACCTGGCTAAGGCCCCGAATATAATGCGAGG